CCCCTACTATCAGAAGGCTGCTTAAAATTGGGGGGGGGGGGGCTTGGTACTCACGGTTCGCCGGCTAGCGACCAATCTTTTCCTTGGCCATATAGCCCTCGGCCTAGTCAGTCAGTTTTAATTTGGGCATGTGGTGGTTTTTTCGGGCATTGATTTGAAACCTTCATTTCTCGCAAGTTTTCCAAAAATCTTATAATTCAAAGCAATATTGTTTACGACCAGTGCTCAATCAACCAGGGGCGATTGTTACAAAAAGGGAGGTTTGAATTTCCTGTTAAAATTGGTAACAAAAATAAACTGATTTTAAACATACGTATTCGAAAAAAAACTGTCATGAAAGTAAAGTGTACGATTTTGCGGGACGGGTAATACAAAAGACGTTTTAAACAGTTACAATTACACTCAGGTGGTACTTCAGAAGGTTGCTTGCTTGCAAACTTTAAACATTGGAAGTTACCGTCAGAAAAAAAAATGGATCCAGAGGGCAACGACTCCATGACAAATTCATAGAAGAAAAGGTATCCGACGGAAGATCCATTTTACACTCCGTATCATGTCACGAAACATTGTATCAACCAAGAATAACTGCCCCTAACCTGTCTTATGCCAATATCGTCATCTATACCTACAGGGACAAAAATAAAAGAAAGTAAACGTGTGTGAAAATGAAAACGAGAGCTGAATGTAAGCGGTAGCACAGAAGTTTAATCTATAAAACGTAGGGAGAAGAGGCGAGGGAATGACAATATAACGATTTTACAAAGACATTATTCGGCCAAAGAAAATGATATCAAAGACCAAAAAGAAAAGAAAGGGTTTGGCAAACATTCAAAATTAAATGCATTTCACCAATGAAAAAGTGAAAGCTTAAAGTAAAACGAAATTTTTAAAAGAATTTTTTGGCATCCCGTATCATAGACAATACGTTATTTTATTTCAATTTGACATTGTGCGGATTCTAACTTGCACCACTACCCCTTGCGATGCTTACTTTGGCTGTAGAACCCTCGTCGAGTGCTTAACGTTCAATCATAACGCCTCCATAAACACACATTGTCGGAAAACTAGCTGTGCTTCTCTTACGCTTTTTGTAATCGGGCCCCAGCCAAAACCCGCCCCTAACATTTACTTTTTCTTTTAGAATAAAGTTACAGAGAAATTTAAGCGGCCGTTTAAAAAGCGACATTCGAGCGTTTATCACCAGCCCTCGAACAGAGTCAATAAATATCTGGCGCAGGCGATCGAGGCGCGAAGTGTGGACCGTGAGAAATCCACGCACGTTAATTTAATTTCGCTGTGCTTTAAGGACAGACAGAAGGAGCATCACGTAAGTTGAACGGAATATCCGAGGGAGATTAATGCGCCATTATTTCAGTATCACGGCGAATTGGATGTCGGATTCGGCTCATCTCTTGTGTGCGCTTTAGTTCTGTTGGTGCTACTGGGAGGTCTCCAGGCCGTAATCCTTCCGAGGACTATTATTTTGCTATTACTTTTTCTAACTGCTTTCGTGTGGATATCCGTGGTGCTTATGCTGCTGTTGGCCGTTCGACTGAGGTGGATTTTATGGGACATTTCGCATAGTTTTGCGCTGCGTCTCGCCATCACTGTGTTTACGATTGTGCTGGTTTATACAGTTGCGCAAGTCAATGTGGTGAGTATCGTCCCTGACGTGGACCGAAGGATAATGAGTCCTGAATAGTTTACATGCTCCATCTACTCGTCCGAGAACGGGACTGTAAATGGAAACATTTTCGAAAGGGATCACAGGGCCTGCCCCCTGCCTCAGTACATCGTGCTATCCTGCGCTCTTGGATATTTAGCGGTCGCTCTATTCCTGCGACTCCCCATCTTGTTGAAGATTGCCTTACTAATAATTATGTCGACGGTATACGTTTTGTTAATAGAGTTGTCGCATATTAAGCTATTTTTGACTTACGACGAAGTTGTTAAGTAAGTAGATTGTGAGTTTGAAGGTGTCGGAAGTAATTCGCCCTTTCCCCTTTTAAAGCTCAGGAATTCCTGGCATACCCGCCCACGTCGTAAGCGTCGTTGAAGTTCTAATCTTCGTAATAGCGGTGTTATTGCACGGCCGTCAAGTGGAATGGACTGTTCGTCTCGACTTTCTCTGGCAAGTACAGGCGAACGAGGAAAAAAGGGAAATGGACGCTTTGCAACATTCTAATAAAAGAATATTGTTTAACTTGTTGCCTTCACACGTCGCGACGCACTTCCTCGATAATCAATTTAGAAACAACATGGTACGTATTGCATACTTTTGTTTATTGTTGCACTTCTGCACACTGTTTAAGTTTTAAACGTGTACGTGAGAGGCATGGCACTATTGCCATTAATTGTGATGAACTTGCCTCCTGTCTATGTAAAAATGTATCGACTTCAAATTGAAATGTCTGTGTGGGGAAGGTTCAAACACAATTATTTATGTTTATTGTTGCTTTTTTTTGTCAGCGCCACATATTTTCTAGAATGACGAATGGCGATTTTTAAGGGTGCGATAAAACCTATCCTCCGCGTTTTTCCTTGAAAAATGCTATTAGCTTTGATTATATAATACATAGATTTACGGTTCTTATAGACATATTATGAGAACAGTATATTTTAGTTCGTGGACATGGACACTAGGCGGCCATAACCATTAACTCGTATATCCGATCCAGTGCGTATAGAAATCTACTCCCTAGAATCTAGGGAGACCTTCTGCAGAGGCACCTCTGAAAAAAGCATTATGCGGGTCACTCTGTAATTGGACCAAGCCTGTTGAGGGCCCAGAACAAGAAAGGGATAATAAATAATAATTAATAAATAAACTATAAAAGCTCATATTATTGTTGAACCCCAAGGCGAAGTTCAGGTTGGTTACAAGTAACCGCCACCTGCTCTTCCACTTAACCTTTTATTTCCCGAAATACAACAATGATGAATGATCTCGTTAATTTGCATTTGTCTGACTTACTACTAAACCCAACTATCGTACCAAATGTCTGAATAGAAGTCTATGTGTGCTACATTTTAGAACAGACGGAAGAGAAGATCGTTATAACTTATAAGCAAAGCAAATGGTAGTGAGAATCTGCAGGGTTTTGTTTTTTCAGGGATCATGTTCGATTTTCTACCCCAGAACTTTTTTTCGGTGAACCACTGGTAGATTGTAAAATATTGTTTGGAAACTATGTGGTCTCTTGTAATATGTTCGTATTTGCGACCGTTATAAATCAATTTTCGGTAGTTAAAATGAAACATTTTTAAAATGGATAAATAGTTTTTGGGTAAATTATGAGCTGAACAAGCTCATTCGTATACTAATTTTAAGATGAGATATGCCTGAAAAATTCTTACACCAACAATATGAACGCAGCTTACACAAAATTACTAAATTTAAAGGTGTGTAAGTAAAGTGAGAAATACAATTTAGCATGAAACTTAATAGTGGACATTTCTCATTTTTACGTACACAGCTATAATAGGAAAATTCAAAATTATGAAAACTTTAATAACAAAATAACTAAATACTTTAGGAAAGAAATTGAAAAATGCCACAGGAGAGCACCGTTCAAAATCATTTCTTATTCAAAAAATTAGTCTGGCCATTCAGCTAGTATTATGGGCACTTTCCCTTCTACAATATCTTTAAATGAAATTTTCTTCCTTTCTTAAATCTTGAAACCTTCTTTTTTTTTTTTTTATTAAATACATGTAAGTTATAATGTAAAATAGGTGTTAAATAATTTAAATTTGAATTATTATAAGTAAAACTAGCTAAATGACACTAAGTACATGAAATAAGTCAACCTTTTGTTCATATCAAAAGAACGTTTTGTTTTTCCAAAGCACTCGTCTCAAAAAATTAAAAATTGTATTTTTAGGAAAAATGTGATACTGAACCACCATGTGTGATATATCGTTGTAAAAAGAAAAAAAGAAGTAATCTCAAAATGTGAAAATTCAAAATGGCGCCCATAAGAAAAACTAAAGTTTCCACGTGTTTCTCCGTCATCTTGAAAGTTATTAAAAGCAGGATGCCATGTTTGAAATCCCCATTAAAAAGTGTCCGAATAATGTGTCAATTAGAAATGTCTACTACGATTAGTTTATCATAAAAAAATTAAAAACGAAAATCAGAAATTTTCGTTTT